GGAGGGAAAGGGAGGGAAAGGGAGGGAAAGGTAAAAGGAGAAAAGGAAAAGAGAAAAGAGAAAAAGGAAAGAAGGCTGAAATGCAAAGCTTTGAAAGATTGGTTCATAGTGCAAGAACAAAACACGACTTCAGGAAAAATCAGCATAATCTTTGCTGAGCTGCAGTTCTTGTGGTTTCTCTTGCCCTCTCCATCCATCTCTTCCCTGTACAGAGGAGCAATTCTTGGATCTGGCTGGTGAAAGAAATATTGAAGTAAAGCACAGTGCACCAGAAGGCAGCACGGGAAACGAGCAAGAGGTGAATGGACCTGATGGCAGGTCCAAGAAAAGTTCACAGGGTGATTTCAGCCCAAAGAGGTCTTTGCCTGCAAAAGAAGAAATGGGGAACCCAAGAAGAGCAAAGGTAAAGGGGACATAGGACTATCTTACCTCTGACTGTGACACTGGCGGAAGAGGAGCTGCTTCCTGCCTCGTTTGAGGCAGTGCACACATAATGGCCTGAATCCTTGAGCTTAGCCAGAGGAATCTCAAGTGAGGCTATTTTGTCTTCAAAGTAAATCTTATAATCTTTGCCTGGAGGGATTTTGCTTCCATCCTTTGTCCACCCTACTGTTACTTTCCTGTCTTCATCTACCTGACATTCAAGACGTATTTTTTTATTGACTGCTGACTGCACTGACTGCAAAACTTTAATGAAGTGGGGCTTGTCTATAATGACCATTTCAGCCTGGCAAATGTCAGCCCCAAACTTGTTGGAAGCTTTGCAAGTGTAAACCCCTCTGTCACTGGTGGTGAGAAGGGAAATTTCTAACACATGTTTATTTTCCACTTTGGAGATCTTGTGGTGGTCTGAAGGTGAAATGGTTGTGCCATCTTTCTGCCAGGCGACATCGATGACTGGAGTGCCCGAAACAGTACACAGGAACTTAGCACTTTTGCCCACAAAAGTAGTGATAGATTCAGGTCTGGTAAGAAACGTTGGTGGAAGTGCTTCTGCAAAACAAAGAGGTTCAATGTTATCCAGAGGTGAGGACCAGAGCTTATGCTCTTTCTCCACATTTGCCAGGGACAGAAAGCAAGAGGGGCCAGTTTGTCACTGGACACTCTTAAGCAAAAGAAGCCAGCAATGAAGGAGATAAGAGGTGTTAAAGATGTTGAATTTTGGCTTCTGGTTTCGTACTTCTTGGATCTGTATATTGCTCCAGAGTCTGAAGGCATTTTGAATCTCTGGAGCAATGTACAAACTAAAGGAAAATAAACCAAAAGCCAGAACTTTTTCCCCCAAGACTGACATGTTCGCACACCATTCCTTCAAGATGGAAAAGTTTGTAGGCATTTTACAGTTTGTGCAACTTTCTTTAGTCTCTGGCACTTAGCAAAGACTACATAAAGACTTCTCCCACAAAGAGAAAAGTCAGAGTAAAAAAGTCACCATGCAGTAAAAGTCCAAAAGATGTTGGGTTTGTTTGGTTTTTTTTAAAGGAAAAAAAAAAGGAAGATTTGTATAGCTCTCAATAGACAAAAAAGTTTGCAAATTGAGACATCTTTAAACCAGCTTTTGTTTGTTTGAGAAGAAGATCTATTTCCCCTATCACAATCGGTTCCCCTCTGGGCACGACACACAGATGTTCAGGTACACATAGCTGCAGGATAAACACAAGGTGCTAGGATAACCACGCAGTGATTATTACACCAAAGAAATCAGATTTAAAAGTGTATGTTTTGTTGCTGTCTGGAAGTTAAATAAACCTTTTTCAAGAAGGTATTCACAAACCAATCCCATTGTGTTGACAATCTAGTTCCTCGCACTCTCTCTTTCCCCCTTCTTTCTTCCCTTCTGAAAATTTTCACACCGATTCCCTTTTCTAGGTACAGAAAGCACCTAAAAGCAGCATTGTCAAAAATTATTCTTTCTCTATACTTATGCCTGCCAAAATTAGGTATGGATTACCTATAATGATGGCAATCAAGGGCCCTATCATAAACATTTTAAGTATAGCAATGAAAGCATTACAATATACCAAGATATTTAACGGAGAAGTGCTTGGAAGTCTGTACTTACCAGTCACTGTTAAAATGGCAGTAGAGCTTACACTGCCATGCTGGTTGGAAGCCTTACAGCTATACTCTCCACAGTCAACAACCTGAGGTCTCGGGATCTCCAGTGTAGAGAGGTAGTTGGAGGTGCGAATGGAGTATTTGTCCCCATCATATATCTCTCGGCCGGCTTTGTACCACTGGAACCTGACATTGGGAGCAGTCTCTACCTCACAGGTAAACTTGGCCACGTGATTTACAGCCACCTCCAGAGATTCAAGCCTTCTCCTCAGGATTGGTGCAACTGAAATCAGAAGCAGATAGTAACTCAAAGCTCTGCCTGCTGACATTCTGGAAAGTAACATTCAAGTGACTGAAAAAATAAAAAAAAAGGTGATTTACTTGCCATCCACATAAAGTGACTGTAAAAGAAAAGAATATTTGTAAGAAATGAAAGCAGTACCAGGCTCAGTGGACAGACAATGTTACGGTGCATAATGACATCAAGTAACACAGTGGTGATAATGGAAAAACCATGTGCAATAGCAATGCACAATAACAATGTGATACAAACATATTCCATGCTGTCCTGGAGTTGAGAGAAATTATGGTGTGAATTCGGAATTGCACTAAAATTGTGCAATGGCTCTAAAGAGTGAGAGAGCGTGCAGCAGTGAGAAAAATGGGACGAGCAGGTCTGTTTCACAGCCGACAATGGGAAGAAGTGGTCGGGACCAAGATATGGATTGTTCTGATCGTGCTTGTGTGATGAGAACGGGAAGCAGCAAAGTTCCTGATCAAAGACTGGGATGAGGGAGGTGAGAGTCTTTGCCATGTGGTAAAAGGTGACCATAAATGCAGAGAGAAAGGGGGCTCTCTGATTTAGTGGCATGATGGTATTAATACTGTATCTGTATCCTAAGACACAGACACATAGTAGGGCAGTTTCATTAGTAGAGCAGTGTATTGGAAAAGCAGTATTTCATCCCCATAATCCAACCTCTTTTAACAACTGTGACTTTTGCTGCTGTTGCACTTTTTCCACCTTGATTCAGCGCCTCACAGGTGTACTCTCCTTGGTGAATCTCCCCACACGCTTTGCTTATTATTAGCGTGTACGTGTCCTGATCTTGCAAACACTTGAATTTGTCGCCTGAAGACACCAGTTTACCCTCAAAGTACCAGTTCACCTCTCTGACATTCATTATGACACACACCAGACTGACACCATCCCCTTCCTCCACAACAGTGTCAACCAGTTTGTTGTGTATGATGGGATAACTTTCTTTGCCCAGCTCATCCTCTAGCTTCCCAGCTTTAGTTTCCAGACCCTCTCTGCCCTCTTCCTCGCATATTTTTTCCCTTTTCTCCTTCCTTTTCAGTATTTCTGTGGATGTCTTAATGGGAACACCTGTGGAGGCTACATCAGCAGTGGCTGTAGCTGCACCCACATCCTTGATTTGACCGTGCACAGTCACAGTGTTGATTACTTGTGCAGACAAAGGCTGCTCCAGGGGTATTTCTGCCTCCATAGTCCTCTCAGCCTGCTGGGGCTCCAGCTCAAAGGTTTCATCACAGGATTTTTCTGAGATAAGTGAACTGGGATAGTCTGGCAATACTTTGGATTTTTCATCTGTCAAGAGATGTTTTTCTTCACAAATAAGAGAATAGAAAGCTTCCTTCAAGACCGTTTTCTGATCAGCTGTCTGAATGCTGACTTCTTCCAAGGAGACTGGGATTTCTATGGGACTGAGTCCTCCTGTGGTCACAACATAGGTGCATAGGATGTGTTTATGTTCCTTGGTGATGTTTATTGACTGTACTTCAACATTTTCTTTATCAGCCAACCATTCTGAAAACAAGAGGTTTTGCTCACTTACCACTGCAGCTTTCAGTGCATTTCTAATCTGAGATTTTATGCCTAAATTGCAGCTCTTGGGAACCTGAGCAGTGAGCTGGCTCTCTTTGTTGAGGACTTGGCTTGGCTGGAGCTGGTGAGTGTACATCATTTCATGGGGTTGTCTCCCTGCCCTTGGACACTTCCGAAGTGGACTGGCAAGATCAACAATATGTTCCTCCTCCAGGAGCTGGTTTTCTTCTAGCAGCAAGGGAAATCTCACAGCCTGTCCCTCATGGATTCTTGCAGCAAAATCTTCCTCTGCTGCTTCCAGGGAAGAAATGTTCTCCAGGAGGACAGCTTGACCCCCAGTGAAGGCCAATTCAGAAGCAAATCTGGGTTCAGCCTTCAGACCACCTTGCATTGCCTGGAAGCCCTCAAGAACTTGGATTTGGTCACCACCTATGGCACGGCTCTCAGTGGTGCTTGACACCTGTAGAAGGGCTTGGGAAGCCTCTGTCTTTAGAGCAGCCATTTGCTCTGCCACCTTGGGGATGACTTGCTCTTTAGGCAAGAGTATCTGTGCACCTACAGTCCCAAGGCAGCCTGGCAGTTGTGTTTCCATCACTGCTGCAGGCACCACAACCTGAGGGACAACAGGGAAGGTTTGCAGTGGCTCTGCCAGAAGCCTGTTGCTCTCTTGTGTTGTGGCCACCTGGGAGAGCATCTCTTCAACACTCTGTGCAGCCAGGCAGGCCGGTGGCAGGCCAGGCAAGATGTCCTCCCTGGGAAGCACGTGCTCCACCTGGCTCGTCTGGATCTGAAGGAGGGCTGGGGGCTCCCTCACGGCCTCAAGGCTGAGTGCTTCTTCCATGGCAGGAAGCTCTCCAGCCTCCTCGTAGGAGAGGGGGCTTTGGCCCTCTGCCACTGCAGAGTGCTGCAATGCTGGGCTTTGACAGCACACAGCGTGCTCCTCGGGTAGCACAAGGAGCTCAGCAGAGCATGTGGCCTCACCCAGGGCGCTCACTGCCCTGCACGTGTACAGCCCAGTGTCCTCCTCCATGCACTCCCGCACTGTCAGGGATCCTGAGCCATCAGGGTGGTGAGCAACAGAGTGACGCGTGTCGGAGAAGAGCTGCTCGCTCCCCTTGAACCACTGCACCTCAGGGCATGGCTCTCCAACCACAGCGTACTCAAAGACTGTGGTGAAGCCCGGTGCGCAGCGCACGCTGTCTGGCTCCCTGGCAAAGCACGGGACCCCTGGGATCCGCTGCCGCACGCGGAGGCGGGCGCTGCATGTGGTCTCACCATGTACGTTGCTGGCCACGCACACGTACTCGCCCTCATCCTGCACACGCACATAGGGGAGAATGAGGCTGTGGTCATTGCCAGCAAACACTAACTTACAGTCCACGGATGGAGTTAACTTCATACTGTTGAAAAACCACTGGATTTTGGGTGTGGGGCTGCCAGTAACAGTAACAGAGAGCTTAGCTACGTCTCCCTGAAAGACTTCAACATTTAAGACTTGTTTGAGGAAAACAGGGGCTTTGCCCCCTTCCTCCATTTTCATCTTTGCTTTGCTGGAATAAACTGGTTTTTCAGGCTCAAATTCAAGTGTTTTCTCTCTATCAGGCAACTGAAGGCCGCTGCTGTAGCCTTCACTTCTTCCTTCCTCAGAAGACACAATAAGATAGCTAGCGATGTCTGTATGGAAAAAAATGGTTTAGTTTCATTAGAATGTTAAAGAGAACACTTGTAGACAGCAATAAAAAGTGTTAGTGCAATTGTTTTTGTATATCTAGAGGCTTTCTCCATACTGTATAGCAGTTAACAACGAACATGAAGTCCTCTTGCTGTCAAATACACAACCGCCAAAACCAACAAGACATGCTGTGCTGTCAGGTTACTTGTGAACTTCCCACCTGTATCAACATGGGTGTTTTTTTAAACCTGACATCACAGTATGTGTTAGGTATACCACCAAGATGTAGAGTGCAAGTAACAGTCAAGCAACATTGATGCATTTCACAAATATAATTAGTCGTATGTGTCATAAATATTCCTATGTACACTCATACAAACAAGTACAGCTGAGCAGTGCTAAGACCCTGGTTTAATTCAAAACATCAAGAAAAAGCAGAATGTCATAATTAGGATTGGAAAAATAACACAAACTTTTCAGCATACAACCTTTCTTCTGCAGTTAGTTCACCTCTCAACTCTATGGTTTGTCTAACACAGCGAGATATTACTTTCCCTTACCAGCTTTGTCCTGTTTTAGTCATTAGACCCTTATGCTTACAACACCGTTATCACTAAAATCACAAATTTGCACCCTTGATTTAATGTCATTGATTTCAATCTCTGCTTTTAAACTCTTTCCTGTCACAATGTTGCACATTAAAATTCCTGCAATAAGAGAGGAAAAGAGGACAGAGCACTTCAAGGCTTTTCTTTTTCTTGCCTTTGTGAATTCAGACATTTATGTGTTGGACCACTTTGTTCTAATGGTGGTTTAAAAATGAAAGGAAGCAGATGCTAAGAACCTGTCACTCTCTGCAGATGGTTGACACTAGAAACATCGGTGAAATCTGAGACTTCCAGGAATGAAACAAGCCATCCATGACAAGCATGGCACAAAGAAAACTTTTGGAAATCAAATCCTGTTGTCCTCACTGAGTCAAGTTTGCTCAGTTAAGGTATACAGTATTTGATGCTGGAAAGATATGAGAGTTATCAAAAAAGAACAAAAGAAATGTGAGTGGATAAATGTTTCCAGGCATTCTAATGATGAACTTTGATAAGTCTCTCAGTTACAGTGTCTTAAATTCCAAAACTTATTGTGAGATAATTTTTACTGCACTCCAATAGCAACTATAAAGAACAGAATACGCCATACCCAATACTTTCTCACTCATTTTAGTAATTAATAATCTTTCCACAACTACCATAATATACATGACATAGCACAGTGCACACAAGGATTAACTGCAGAGAAGAGATTCTTAGGTAAAAAAGAAATTACAGTCCTTCAGGATTACCTACCAGTCTTGTTAAAACAGTGGGGCAGTTTCCCCAGAAATACAATGTACTAGTGAACTTTGGCAAAATTGGGCTCATAATAAAGTATAAAAATTGCAGAATGGAATCTATGCTGACACACATCAGAATGCTTTATACACAGGAGAATGGCAAAAATTAATTCACTTTTGTGCATTCCTGGATATTCATGACCCAAAAACTATACAGATTCTTTTTCATATTTTAGCTATGTCTGTGAAATGAATACAGTACAAGAAGCAACAGACTTAAATCATTTATAGATTTATTTCACAAATTAACTACACATGTTAACATTCGATACACATTGATGACAAACAGATATCATTTATCTTTTTTTTAAGATACTTGTTTTGTAGAAATAAAGACGACATTAAACCTGACAACGAAATTGAGTTTTGTAATTCCTATGAAAGCACAAAATTTTGGAGAGAGATGTTCAATCATAGCTCTAAACTATACCAGTTGCCTCAGAGTAAGTTTATTCAAAACTGGAATTACCCCAAATTTATACCATTGTAGCTTAGATGAGACTTTGTCTCTCCATAAGCACATGATAGTGCTCTTGGCTAATGTACGAAACTTAAAACAAGACTTTTAAACTTACATAAACCACAAACACTGCTACACAGGTATAGATAAAGATACTTGGCCATGTATTTCAGATGTGAACATGAACTTGGACCTGCTTGACTTATGGCTTCTAAAGCAAGTTATGGGCCTGTTTCTACTAAAAATTGCAGTTCATTTACGTGCAAATTAAATGCACGTCATAACTGCTTAGGACCTAACCAAAGGGCCTCCGACTTCTTTGGCTTTGGACCTAAAAGACCCCTCATGTCACAGCTGACGTATAACATCAGACAATTCATGCCAACTTCCTTAGGGACCTCTGCTGTCTAATGAATAGGTTAGCACTACACATCTATGCAAGGAATGGATTAAGGACACATCATGAAGCAATTCTTTCCCAGCACAACACTGGGTCAGACATTCATGCTTCTCTTTCCTACCACCACTACCTACGAGAAATCACAATTATTTCTGCCTTTTAACAGCATACAAATCTTAAATATTAATCATGGGGTCATGACTGGGAAGAAACTGAAGTGACAGATTGGTATTAGCCTAACCACTCCAGTCATTGTCCCATATACTGGGCCATTAGAACTGCCACTCCTGACTTTAAGTCTATATTGGGCAACACAATTGGGCAAAGTGAATCTTTCGATCAAAAATTACTGTCCCAGGTGAGTGATGGGACAGTCTTAAAGATTATTAATTTTTGAGGCATGCTGACCTCAGTGTGAGAACACATCAAACTCAGAAATAAGAACATACATGAACATAACTGAATGTGCTATAGGAATAGTTCTTTTATGCTAAAAATCACCATGCTCCTTAAAGCAGTTTGCAAGGCAACTGACAGCAACTTGTAAATAACTGGAAGAACCTCATGAACAGGTAATCAAAGTAAAAATAATTTTTGCTTAGTGTTGTTGAACTCAAGGTTTCACCTTGGCATATAGGTAACTGGAAATTTGGCACATCCATTACAGAGTTATTTAGCTTCTGATAAACATTAACTGATAACTTTCATACTTTTAACATATTTTCTTAATCAATTTGTCATTTTTATGTAAGATAGATTTAGTTCAAATTTAATAATGTCAGCTACTGCTGATATCTCCTCCTAAATACTGACATTGTTTTAAATACAAAAATATATACTCACATTAAGAACATTAATGTAAAAATCTCTTCTGCTGAGAAAATGCAACAGATAACAATTGAATGTATTCTACTTATTTCTGGTCATCTTGACACACAGCACACTTAACTGTTACTAATTTTAGAAAAAGAAAAAATAATATGTAGAGATTTAGTTCTAATGTGAAACAAGAATATTGCAAAAAAATCTCTAACTTTTTTACTACTATGTATTGTTCATAAATGACACTGGAATACGGGGACAACCAAAATTATTTTAATGAATTTACAGTTACATCATTGATTTATTATGCTTCCTCTCCTTTCCCTTTAACTTCTAAAGATACAGTACAAAATACGTTTTCATGTTTATTACTTGGTAATAGAGAAAAAAATCCTGTCCAGTCTCTACTAACACAAAACTTTCACTTTCTTTCCATTGTGTTGCTTTTCTTTGCAACAGTACAATTCCATTGACTTAAAAAAAAAGTCATTTAATTCCATGAGTCAGTAGAATGAGGCCCATGGATGTAAGAATTTTGTGGTGATAGAAACTGTAAACACAGGATTTGAATCAGTGAGGCTCATGTGTTCTGATACAACATTGTGAGAAGGGAGAATAGCAATTTAAGGAGTCTTGCACAGAACGATATCCAAACTAAACAGAAAGAATAAGTTTGTATTCCATATCTTTAGGTTACAAGAAAAAGATGGTTTCTACATTTTCAAGTGATTTCTACCCTACATAAAATACTGATTGCACTGTTACAGACACAAAGGAATATGTACACTCCATGAAAAAATTAGTCCTACATAAATGAGTGTCATTTAAAATATCTTTATGAGAATGAGTAAGGAGCTTGGAAGAAGCTTGAAATATACCTCGATGCGGAAAATGTGCACAAGACCTATGCACAGATTAAATCTCACTTAAATTCCTCAATGAAGGCAAGTTTAAGTGAGTCAGATGTATGCCCATATAGAGAGGTTTTCATCCCTAAAGAGATGAAAAACAATGCCCCTAAAATGAGTGCTGCATTTTTATCTGCAGTGAACAACAACGTTAAAACATTCAGTGTTTCAAAAGAGACTCTGAAATAAATTATGGAAATTTAGTATAATGTTAACACTGCACAACTCTCAGCAGTTCCTGCCCTGTTAGTAGCTACACATTTGTACTGCCCACTGTCACTTCGCATCAAGTTTTCAATAGTAAGGCTATGAGAACCCTCCTGCTCTTCCTGAGCACAGTACCTGTCCCCTTCCAACAACACCCCGTCCTTGTACCACCGGACACTTGGCTGGGGGGATCCGGTCACCAGACACTGGAAGCATGTAGAGGCACCTATAAATGTACTGTAGTCAGAAATGAGTCTCAGAAATCTGGGAGGCACTTCCGTAATCTGGAACTCAAAGCTGCAGCTCTCCGAGTCCTCTGCCCTAAACTCAACCCGTTCCTCTTCGGATGGCTCCGCAAACACATCAAAACTAATGTTGACACGCTTCTCCCTTTCCGCTTCCTGCTCTTGTTGAGTCACTGCAAGCAGTTGGATTGCTTTCTCTGAGTTGTCTACATGTGACTCAAACTCAAACTCCAGCTCTATTTCTGACTGATCACCCGGGCTCACAGACTTACTCAGAAGCAAGTCACACTTCTGGGTCCTATGTGGTTCACTACCCATGACTGTCTCACTCCTTGCCTTAGCGCTTGCTCCCTGCTGAGCCATGACTACGAGGGAGCCTTTGCACGTTGCTTCTCCCAGTCTATTGATTGCCCGACAACGATAACAGCCACCATCAGAAGGACCTACATTTTGGACCTTCAGACTGTGAAGTCCCTCCTTCTGACTCACAACATACTTCCCTGTGGCAGGTGTCACACAGGTGTCGTCTCTGAACCACTGGACTACTGGGACAGGAGTACCTGTTACCACACACTCAAACACTGCCTCCAAGCCTTCTGTCACCTCAACATCTGCAAAGGGCACAGCAAAGCGGGGAGGCATTTCAGTTACTTGGAAATCAATTTTTACATCCTCATTCTCCTCTGCAGCCAAGCCTGCAGCTTGCTCCAACAAGGCAAGGGGAAGGACATCCAGGGAGACAACCATGCTCTTTTTATCTGGGCTAAACTCAGGACTGGTTATGATTTTGACCTGCTTCTCAAACTCCTTCACTTCATTTTCATCCAGCTCCACTTCCAGGAGGATCTCCTGTGGTGAAGGTGATCTTGAAGATGTGTTTTCCTCCAGGTCAAAGTGTATAACATGCTGGTGGGTGACAGGGGGTGGCAGTGCTAGCGACCGCCCATCTTCAGACAAAACTTCCACCTGCGTGATACTTTTGGCTTCCCCAACAATGTTCACTGCATGGCACAGATACTGTCCTCCATCAGCTTTCTGGACGTTAGTGATCTCCAACATGCATTTGTTCCCATCCTCCTCTATCTGCACTCTCTCATCCACCTCCAACAGAGATTTATTATGATACCACTTCACTCCTGGCTTGGGCACACCCATCACCTCAGCCACAAAGCTCAGCGTGCTGCCCTCATACAGCCTCCTTCTGCTCAATGCCTTGAGGAATGCAGGTGGCACCTCCCTGCCTGATGGCTTCAGGGCTTCACAGGGTGTTCTAAACACCTCAGCCTGTGGCTGGTCTGGAGGCTGCTGCCTTCTGTCACAGAGGGGGAGCATGGCCAGGGCGTCCATATACTCCCCAGTGGGTGTCCGGTAGCGCTCTGGTGGTGTGCTATCCCCTGATGCAGAGCAAGGTCCCTCGAAGGGTGTGAAGTAGCGCTCTGAGGGTGTGTTGCATTTTGAACCCTCGGAAGGTGTGGAGTAGTGCTCAGGTGGTGTGCTGTACACTGAGCCTTCAGATGGTGTGGAGTAGCGCTCGGGTGGTGTGCTGTACCCTGAGCCCTCGGATGGTGTGGAGTAGCGCTCGGGTGGCGTGCTGTACCCTGAGCCCTCGGATGGTGTGGAGTAGTGCTCGGGTGGTGTACTGTACCCTGAGCCCTCAGACGGTGTGGAGTAGCACTCAGGCGTGCTGAGCGGTGTGTGGTAGGATGTCGATGAAGCGGTTTCAAAGACCTCCACTGAGGAGGGAGGTGTGTAGAAGCGGTCTGAATCAGGTGACTCCTCTCCACTTCTGCTCTCCAGCTCTATAGACATTTCCGACTCAGGAGAGAAAGGCCGGGTGAGTTCCTGTTGGTTGTTGTAATAGTCATAAACCATGCTGAAGGTGACCTCCTCCACTTCCAGTGAAGTGACAGTCTCTTGCTGCTCCTTCTGAACTGTCCCTTTGAGATCTGGAGTTTCCTGCATCCCAGTTGACCTTAAATATTTGGCCAGGGACAAGTCAGGCTCCAGCTCTGAGGTTTGACCAGCACTGGGCTCTGGACCTGCAGAAATATCCTCCTGCAGTCCTTCTCCATCCAGGCTAGTCTCAGAAGCTTCCTCAGTGGGAGTCCTCTTCTTACCCCAAGACTCCTTCCTTTGCTCTTTCTGTACCACAGGATCATCTGTTATTAAACCAAGTAGGAATTGACCAAAAGAGAAGCCCTTGGTTGAGTTTGGTTCCTGTTGGGTGTCCCTGAGCATCTCCTCAGAGGAATCTGTTCTTTCTATCTCACAGGTGGAGCTGCTCATTCCTGTCTCAAAGACCTTTTCTATTCCAGAATGTTCTTCCTCCTCAGCCTGATGCCCAGCCTGGGGTTTCTTTTCACGTGCAGCTTTTTTCAGGTCGATGATGAAGCTATCACTCTGGGAGTCTGTGGTCTCCAGTCGTTCCCCAGTCTCCCACATATGTGTTTCCTGCACTCCTCTTTGGAAATCTGCTGTGGATTCCACCAGAAAACTGTGAATTTGTCCCTCAAGTGAATCCTCCCCACAGACACTCACCTCTGACTCATGAATTTCTTCAGCAGAAGATCCCTCTTCAGCAGATATCATGATGCTGCCAAGGTCCCCATCAGGGATTTGCAAATCAACCCTTCTGATTTCTTTTGGCTGTGCCTCTTCCTGGGCATCAACCTCCTCCTGCTGCATCCTGTAGCTCTGACGCAGCTCCTCACTTAGCGACATTTCTTCCACAAGCACATCATGCTGTTGCACAGGGGAGATAAGCCCAGTCACTCCTACCTCCACACTCTCCAGAGTTTGTGCTTGTTCTGTGACCACAGTCTCTGCAGCTGGGAGAGACTCCACAAACTTCTCCAAATCAAATGTGATGTTTGTCTCATCAGTCTCAGATGGCAACAGCTGCTCTTTGAAATGCACTTCTTCTAGACGAACCTCAGTAAAATCCTGACCTGGGTTTTCTATGCCAGGAGGAGTGAGGATTAGATCCAAAGAAGAGTTGCCTGCATCAGACTCCACTTCTTGCAGCATTTGTCCATCATTGTGCATTTCCCAGCGTGTGGCATCCCCAGCATCAGTAAATTCTTCTTTACAAAGATGATCATCAACCTCGATGTCCTGTTCAATATCATCTGATCTCTCTTGCTCCTTGGCCTGTTCCTCCTGCTGCTCTTCCATACAGAAGCCATAAAAGCCAAACTGCTCTTTTGTGGTTGTGCTTGCAATGTTGTCCTGCAGGTGGGGCACACTTCGCTCTTCTACAAGAGGCTCATCAGGAGACATTGCCTCCCAGGCAAGGGCATTACTCTCCTCCATGTAAACATCATTCCCCTCATGCACCACAGGTGATATAGGAATGAAAAATTGTGAATCCTCACACTCCCTTGCCAGAGCAGACTGCTCAGAGGCATGTGTTTGACCTTTCATTTCCATAAACGGTGACTTCAAGATGTCCCAGGACAAATTACCTGTACGTGCTACCACCTTGTCTCCTTCAGCCTCCAACTCCTCTGAGAAGTGACCTGAGTCAGTGGCCACCAGTTCATGCTCTTCCCTGGACATGCTGGGATGCGGCTCAGTGGCATCAATTCCAAAGGTGTGTTCCTTGGAGAAAGCTTTTCCTCTGTGCTGCCCCATCTCAGAAATACCATCTGTATCCCTCACACTTTCTTCTGTATAACCCATTTCTTGCCTTGCATAAACTTCCATGATATCCGGCACCATCGTTTCCTCCATCTCACTTTCTCTGGAGTGAGGAGTTTTCTCACGCTCCTCTTCCAACTGCTCACCAGAAGACGGAGGCAGCCTCAGGGACCAGTTTAGGTGGGCTTCCTCCTCCTTGGAGCATGTGATCTGTTTTTCTTCATCCTTCCCAAATGTGCTGAGGCTTTGGAGGTGTAGAACATGGTCCATGGCAGGAAGTTCCTCAGTACCTCCATCCTTGCTATACAACCTGGGTGCACTGGGCTGCACTGTCAGCTTAGAAGCAGTCTGCGCTGTGCCGGCCACATTCTTGGCCACACAACAATACAGCCCAGCATCCATGACAGAAACTCCTTGGATGTGTAAGCGGCATATGCCATTCTTGTCTTCCTCAAACTCCAGCCTCTCGCTGGAAGAAAGGCTCTGGCCATTTAGGTACCAGGCCACAGCTGGTGGGGGCTGCCCAGACACAGCACACTCCAACACCACAGCCTGCCCTTCATGGCAATGAATGTGTGCTGGGGCTTCCGTCACAATTTGAGGCGGCTCATTTCCCACATCAAATGAAAACTTGAACTTGTGCTTTATGGTGGGAGCAGCCTGGTCTGGAGAGGGCCGCGTGATCTCCCTCATCTCTGTGTCTTGCTCTGGTGTTGGAGTAGGGGCAGTGATTTTGATTTCCACAGGCAACGACAGCAAGTCTGAGTCTGGAACTGCACTTGGCAGTCTCTGCTCTGCTGTGAAGGCCAGGCCAACTTCTTCTTCTTCCTCCTTCTCCACCTTCTCCTTCTCCTCCTCCTTCTCTTTCTCCCTTTCTTTCTCCTTCACGTACTCCTCCTCTTCCTGCTCTTCCTCTCTCTTCCCTTCCTCTTCCTCCTCCTTCTTTGTGGCCTCATAGGCTGGCATCCGCCGCCTCACATGGAGTGCAGCTGAGGTGCTGACTGTGCCCAGTGGATTGAAGATCACACAGGTGACAGTGCCACCGTGCTGTGGGAGCAGGGATGAGAAGGTCAGTGTAGAGCGGCACTCTGTGGTGTGAACGGCGGTGCCCCGGATGCGTCCCACAGGCTTGGTGTTGTTGTACCAAGTGACTGTGGGCTGGGGGTGGCCATGGAAGAGGCAGGAAAAGGTGCATCTGTGCCCCTCGACAGCCTCCTGGGGCTTGATCTCCTGGACAAAGAGGGGTGGGCAGGGCTCCAGGAGCCCACCTGGTATCTGCCATCTCTTCCCCGCTTCCTTGGGCTTGCGATAGTCCCTCGCCTCCTGCACTGCCAGGGGCTCTGAGCTGTCCATGGTGGCAGCCGCCTGCAGCGGGCCGGGCTTCCCGGGAGGGGCCCCCTGGGGCACGGACATGAGGGATTCCTGCTTCTTTCTCAGCGCTGCCCTCTTTGCCTCCCGCAGCCGCTGCAGTTTCCAACGGATCTCCTCATCCAGCAGCTCCTCAGCATCCACCACTGTGCTGCTGCCCTCCCTATCGCATGCCAACCCTGGACGGTGAGGCCCTGCCAGTGGCAGGCCCGTTCGTACCATGCCCCGGGCTGGAGAGAGGGCTCCAAGCAACTGCTCAGATTCCTGCCTCTTGTCAAAGGGCGAGCCAGTGCAGCGGAGCACCACTCGCAGCCGGTCCTCCTGCCGCTGCTGCAGAAGGCACTCCCAGTTCTCCCGCATCCACTCCGCTTTCCCCACAAAACCCAAGCCCTGCGGCTCTCTGCTGCGTGCCACCAGCAGCGAGGCAGTGGACTCAGCTGAGCCCTCACTGTTAATGGCAAATACCCTATAGCTGCCAGCATCATGCTCCCGCACATCCCGCACCTCCAGGCTGGCATGGTGCGTGTGCTCCTCGCTCTCAGTGCGGATCACCTTGCGGCAGTCCTGGTGGACTGGCCGGTTGTTGTGAAACCAGGCCATGTGTGGTGCCGGGCATGCCACCAGCTTGCACTGGAAGAGTGCAGGGTCCCCCTCCAAGACAGACCTACACTTGAGGCCCTGTGTGAAGGTAGGTTTACGGTTCTGGGTGCAAGCCAGCACCACTGCTGTCCCAGGTCCCTCGATGCTCGCCTTGCTGTGCTCCTCTGCAAGAGAAGGAGACAGGGTTACAACATGCCATGCTCTGCCTGATGTTTGATTGAAAATAATGAAATAGCAATGTATTGAAATATAAAATGGGCATGCAACAGATTTCATCACACACCCAGGAAAAAAAAAGTAATTCACTCACCATATTTGTTCGAATAAACGCAATGCCTTGCTCTGTTTTAAAGATTGACACGAAAATCGTTCGTTGTCTGTTCTTTCTTCAGACTGTTGAAATTTCTTCTTGAACAAGCAAAAATGAATTTCAAAATAACACGTTCTTCTGCGTGTATGTTTTTGCTGCCTGGAAAAGCTGTGTGTCTTTGGGTGGCAAAGAAGAAAATCTTACCTGACTTGCAGAGAGTAGAATAAACGCCCTTTCTGACCCTTCTGTTTGTAGATTAAATGTTCAAACAATTGAGAAAAAAATATTTTGAAAGATATTTTTAAAAAGTAAGTAATTAGCTAACATGAAATGAGAAGGCGTTTATTCGAACTAATACAGCCATTAACTTCACAGTGTTATGCACAGGGAAAAAAGCAAGCAACATGAACCACGTATGCTATCTGCAAGCCAGGGTAAGAGATGTATAATGATGAATTAATGTATGTAAAAAAAAGTGCAAGGAATCAATGAGAATGTGTAACTTTCACATATCCTGAACAACAAATGCTTTCTAGTATACTTTATCCATCCATCCATCCAATAGTGTCCACTGAACTCATAAATGTTAGGTTGCTAACTTTTTTTAAAATAATATGATTAAGATTTGTATAACTTCCTTCTGAAGTAAACTATTCCATGCATTCAAAAGGAAATTGAACAAATAAAAGCTCTGAGAACAGCTGCAAAGCATGAAGTAAAAGTTAAGAATATGGCTGCAAAATTATAAATTTGAAGTTTTAAACATATTTTAAAACTTAAATAACCTTATAATGCAGATAACCCTTTGCATATCAAAACAAACATGCAACATGTTCCAATATGCGGTAAAGTGTGTCTTTCTTTCCCCATCAGACACTACAAGTAAGCAGATAAAAGCTTTTCACAATGTTACTAATTCCTGCTATTAATTATTCAGTTTAATATGATTGGTGACTGTACCTTTCACTTCCATTTCAATCTCTTCCTCTAGCTTCTCATGAATAATTTTTTCAGGAGCTAGAATAAAAAGACATTTTTTTTTAGCTATATTTGCTAATATGCCAATCAACACTTTATGTAGTAAAAACATCCAATTTCTCTTGCAAACATACAGAAATTCACACATACATACACATAAATGCATGCCAAACAATTTGAACACTTGGTAAATTTTGAGAACAAAGTAATCAAATGCTCTCAAACTTGTTTGCAATGTACACTTTTCTATAAGATTTGCTTTCTTTTTTGCAGGGTGGGGGAAAGTTTCTACTGTAACATGCCTTTATCATGCCTTAAATCCCTGAAGAAAACGTTCAACAATCCACAGACTAATGAGATGCTTCTCGTTCTTTATTATGTCCCAGGGAATGAACGTACTGGAATGCAATGATGCTATGAATGAGGAACTGATACTTGGAAGGAACATGCAGTTGCCAACCTGTCACTCTCAGATGGGTGCTGCACTCGGCTTGTCCTGCAGGATTAACTATTCTGCACTTGTATATACCCTTGTGGTTCTGACCAACTTTCAACAATCTTAAACTGCACAGTGGTCCATCATGTTTTAAGGAGCACAGTGCAGACTCCTCAACTATTAGCTGATTGTACAGCCAGACCACGCAAGGCATAGGCACACCCTTCATTATACAAAAGAGTAACACATCATCTCCTTCTTTTACACTGGTTTCTGAAGGCAGAGTTTCAAGAAACTCTGGTGCTTTGGCGTCAGTTTCTGTGATGTCTTCACATGGTACAACATCAGGATAGTAGACTCTGTTTCTTTGCTTCTCAGTTTCATAGGGTCTTTGGGATGTAGATATAAACAAGCTCGTGGTTTTCTTGGAAGATTCTTGCTTAACTTCAGATGCTTTAAACTGACAATCTTTGGCTGCTTTAAAGCTTTTAGTATCTGATTCAAGAGTAATTTTTGTTACTGCTTTGGCTTGTGCTTCTTTTGCTAGGTAAGAATAAAGTTAGGAAAAGGATTAGGTCAGATGTTTTGGAGGAATAAAAAATATCCTTATACTCAGGGGGTGAAAAACCCAATAATTAGCATTGAAAGAATGTCCAGCATATTAGTGCTACAACAATGCTATTAAACATGAATGATTACACATTTAAGAGCTCTATTCC